CCACGGCTGGATCTGTATGTGAAAACAGAGAGTTACATATGTGCATAGAGATCGGAGTGATTTACGCCATGATGTTTTATGTGCGTCTTCTTTTTTTTGCTAGCTAATATTAGCCTTTATCTGCGTATCTGGCTTTCTTTATCTCTTTCCGTAAGACATGCAATATAGAAAGAGAACGTGCGTGTGTGAATTGTTTGAGAGAAACACATCGTCGGTTCATGATTAGCAAAATCGTCTCGTAGACCGATTCACTAAACTAGGGATTTCGACACCCACAAGATGCCTTCCTACAGAGACCTGACTAAGAAAATATGTCTTCGCACGTACGGAAGTGTGGAGAGAGAATGCTGGACAATACAAAGTTTGGTATATATATATATATATAAGAAAACATTCAGAGAACAAACTCACAATCAATGACTTAAAGTAATATTATTGGAATATTCAGGGTGCTTCCTCTCACCAAAAGAAGGACAAAAGTTCATACAAACATATGTCGGTAAATCCTTCGTTTTTGAGTCATTAAGTTTAAAGTTTATAGCAGACGCTTTTAAATCTAAAATCCAAGATAGAGCCCAAATGTACTTTAACAAACTTTGCGGGGCGGTAAAGGTAAAATTTCCATATAAACATATATCCAAAAGTGCATCGTTGTACCTCGAAACAGTAACTCATAACAAATGTTCAAAATGTCCTCTGCTTGCTTCTACACAAGCATTCACCCGTCGGATCAATGACTGGCGGACTCATTAAAATACTCCCTCACGGTGTTGAATGGTTTCACAGGCCCCCATGACACATTGATGAAGCATCTCTCTATTATTAATGGCTGCTGCATAAACCATTTGTTTTAGGTAGCCCCCACAGATAAAAACCCAAAGGAGTGAGGTTGGGGGGGGACGTGCAGGCCAAGGAACCTATCCTCCCCTACCCATCCATCTTTCATGGTAGATGCCATCCAATGTATCGCGAACAATATGACTAAAATATGACAGAGCTCCATCGTGCATGAACCACTTTCATCTTCATATTAGCAGGGGTACATCCTCTAGTAGTTCTAGCAGAACATATGGGCCTACCAGACAGTCACCTATAATTCCAGCTCAAACATTAATCGTAAACTGATGCTAGTGTCTAGCTGGTATTGTACTATGGGAATTCCAATCCGCCCACAAATGTTGGTTGTTTAAATTTGTTATTCCATCTCTTCCAAATCTTGCCTCATCTGTAAACAAGACTGAAAAGACAAACAACGGATCGGCATTTTGTTCAATAAACCATCGGTAAAAGTTCTCCCGTGGTGAGTGATCACGGGGCGAAAGACCCTGCACATGTTGCAAATGGTACAGATACAAAAATTGCTCTTGAAATGGCCATTTTCACCCCGAGTGAAAATGGCCATCCGAATGGAGTTTCATTTTTATGTAATTCATTTATATGCTCTATAACAAATATATTGAGCTCTCTTTTGTGGATCAGTTGTAATATTTTATATTATTAGGATATACTTGGATTACTTACCCAAGGATATATATATATATATATATATATATATATATATATATATATATATATATATATATATATATGAGGCAACACTTGGAAGAAAATGCAATACGAAGTTTGAGCAACGATAACAGAATACTTAATAAATAAAAAAAAGTTAATTAACAGATGTAGACATAATATAAAATACTTGTTGTGTCACCTACCTCCGGACTAGCGTATTGGTTTATTGATGATTTCCCCCCACTGAATAGAACCCTACAGTTCGATAATTAGTAGGTTAGCCCACCCACAGGCTGTTTTTCTTTGCCTAGTTTCTTTTTTACTCTCTGTAGGTATTGTTATCCACGGGTTTTTAGTGAAATTAGATTTAATGAAATTATTATTATTATTTAACCCGTGATGCTTTAGGGCGATTCATGGGTTATATTCCCTCCCTTCTTTCATTTCCGTTCAAACCATCTGAAGATCGCGTGAGCGTGAAACTCGAGTTACGACTAGGGCTATGATTTCATAGGATTTAACTCGGGTTACGACTAGAGCCAATCTTTCATAGAACGTTGGTAAGCGGTTTTTGGCTCGGTCTAGGCAATCTAGGCCTTCGAGGACTTTACTGATTAAATTTGCCTTTAAGTCTTTTTTTTTTCTTTTTCTTCTTTCAATCGGCTTTATTTAAGACTGTATCGGGATAAGAGTTTTAGGTTTTGGCAAGTTGTTCGTTGCTTCCATCAACGGTTTTTTTTTATATATATATATATATATATATATATATATATATATATATGTGTGTGTGTGTGTGTGTGTGTGTGTGTGTGTGTGTGTGTGTGTGTGTGTGTGATTATTTGGGGATTTAGGCTAACCATATAGTAATTCGTCGAGCCTAGAAGAATCCTCAACAGAATGCACAAAGCACTGGACGGCCGTTTCGTCCTATCAGGGACTCATCAGCAGTGCGCATCCACTACCGAGAATTGAAACCCGGACCGTTTCGATACAACGCAAGCGTCAAACCCCGTCAAATCACAGGCCTCGGTGACAAAGAAGACGCAAATTAGACTCGACATAGCGCCGCTATTCACTCAGTTCCGCAGCGATATTCATCCAAGTATACGGATAACCTCGGAACAGTGCCTCAAGAGCCACGACTACTTTTTGACACTTAGCCGCTCCATTGCAGAGCATTAACTGGGTCTAGCAAGGATATCCAAGTGATTATTTTGGGGATTTAGTCTAATCATATAGTAATTCGTCGAGCCTAGAATAATCCTCATATATATATATATATATATATATATATATATATATAGAGAGAGAGAGAGGGGGATAGAGAGAGATGTGGGGGTCAACACCCAGCCACGACAGTTTACTTCCTGCTTAAACGCATTCTTCAGGTCATCATGACTCGAGGATTACTTTCAAGCATGAAACAGACTGTCGTCTCTTGGTGCTGATCTCAATGTTCATTTTTATATGTACATTCGCTCTGTCCCTAATATTGAGCACTTTGATCCATAAATATAGCAGACCTTAAAACTATATTTATTGGCCATTAACAACAAAACCATCTGTGATTACCAACCAAATACCAATACGGAAACGTTAAAATGCACAAACTCGGATATCCATTACGACCCATCATTTCATAGATTCTTCAATGATATTATTACACCATATCAGTCTACTAAACCTAAGATAACATCCATTCATGAATTTCCTTAAAACAGCGCAACTAAACCAAGGTATTTTAGTCTAACTTGATGTAGATCTTTTCACAAACGTCCTCACTGACGAAACCATCAATATAATTTGCAACTCTGTTTATAGACAATTCAGTCCCTCCTCCATCCATCAAACCCAATATTCTCAAGTAATTACTGCACGCCTATACAGCTAAAGCCCCTTTCTACGACCATAATAGTAATATTTATAATGAAACTAACGCTGCTAACATACGAAATATACTTGGGACGTGCTTCTCTAACTACTACGTGTCTCATGTCGAAAAGTATTTGAAAAAGTTACAAAACCTAAAATATATGCCCGCTGTGTAGGTGACACTTTTATTTTAGGTGAAGATAAAAAAAATATCGAAAATCTCAAAACAATATTTGAAAAAACTGTCCTTAAATTTACCTATGAACTTGGTAAAAACAAATAAATTTTCTCGTTCTCATTTCGTCCTCATCTAGAATTTAGTACAGTGTAACCCGGATATAAGAGAGTTGTCGGGACCGGAGAAGTCGCTTATATCCGGGTTTCTCTTATATCCGGGTGTAGTCTATTTTGTTTAGGTAAGTATGGGAACACTTCATATAACGCTTTTTACGTACAGAACACTAGTTTATTTAACAGTTATAGACATAAAAACACAGACAAAAATACATTTTCGACTGCTTTTTGCTTCAAAGTAGGCTGTCAGAGTTTCAAGCGCATTCAATGCAGCCAGAGAATTTGGCACTGGTTTGTCACTTTCAGAAACTTCAGAACTTACGCTTTCAGCATCATCATCTTCGTCAAAATCTTGATCATCCGATTTTATACCACGTGTGATGTCCGTGTCAGTCAGTTCTTCATAACATTGTGTACGGTCGTCGATAAATTCGTCAAAATCTGTTTGCTCCATGCCCGATGGTCTTCTTCTTGTCTTGATGCGGCATTCACCCTGGGCGGATTGAGCCGGCTTCTTCCTGTTGACGCACCGCATCACGGACCATTGCTGCCCACGCCCGTCGGTCTGTCGCGAGGTCGCACGAGATGGTAAGCCAGTCTCGGTTCCAGCGGCGGAGGCCGACCACATGCGGGCCGGAAAGTAACGCCAGATCCTCCTTGATCGTTGAGGCCCACGTCTTCAGCTGTCCGCCTATCCGCTTCCGCCAGGTGGACGGCGGTGTGGGAAGGAGAACGTCCCGTATCAGCTCCCTCTCGACCGGCGCGCAGCGTGTCCGAACCATCGAAGACGCCGTTGAAGAAGGACTGCGGGCAGAGGGCGTAGGCCGAGGCGGCGGCGGAGCTCGGTTGTAGGGACCCGGTCGACGCGTCGGCAGTGCAGGATGCGACGGAGGCAGTCGTTGTCGAACACCTCCAGTTTGCGCTGGTCAACCACCCTGAGCGGCCAGGTTTCACACCCATATAGGAGGATAGAGCGAATGATCGCCTGGAAGATCCGCCTTTTCGTGGTGGCCGAGATCTCTCTCCGGTTCCACAGGCAGCGTTGGAGACGGGCGAAAGCAGATCTCGCCGCGCCCATCCGACGTTCCACCTCACACACTCCTTGTCCGGATGCAACCACAGCCAATCCTAGGTAGACAAACGACTCGACCACCTCCAGGTTGACACCGTCCAGCGAGATGGGGCGCTGGGCTTCTGGTGGGACTAGGGAGAAAAGCACCTTGGTCTTCGATGCATTAATACGCATACCCACAGAGCGGGCCGCGTTGTGAACTCTTTCGAGAACACTTTCGACGTCTGCAATCGAGGACCCCAGAAGGACGATGTCATCGGTATAGATAAAAGTCCGACACCTCTACATCTCTACCGACCGACACACCTGAGTAGCCGCGGAGGGCAGTGTTGAGGATGAAGTTGATGGCAAAGTTGAAGAGGGTGGGTGAGAGGGCACATCCCTGTCGGACTCCGGACCTGACGTCGAAGGGCTCCGATTCCTCACCGTAGACCCGCACCCGCGCCCGCGTGGCTCGATAGTACCCCTGGATAAGGTGAAGCAATTTCACAGGGATGCCGTCCGCAAGCATAAGTTTCCACAGTGCATCTCGATCGACCGAATCGAACGCAGCTGCGAAGTCGATGAAGCACAGGACCGTTGGTTGTTGGTAGACCCAGCGCTGCTCGAGTGTGCGCCTCAGGTTGAAGATCTGATCCACACACCCTTTCCCCGGGCGGAAGCCACATTGGGTGGGACGCGTGCGGGCATCTCGAGCCGTCTGGAATCGCTTCAGAAGCAGAACTGCGAAGGTTTTGGCCGCTACATCGAGCAGACTGATTCCCCGATAGTTGGAGCACACCTTCTTGTCACCTTTCTTAAAGAATGGCAGCAAAACAGCGTGTCCCCAGTCATCAGGAACAGTCTGTGAAGCCACGGAGCGAAGATGTCGGGCAGGGCCTTGTAGACTTCCGCCGGGATCCCATCTTCCCCGGGAGCTTTGTTGTTACGCAGCTGACGAAGGACAGACAGAATCTCCTGAATTGTTGGCGGATCAACGCTGCAGTTGTAAGTTCCATCCGCAGGTTGCAGGTCTAACTGGACAGCGGGGGGCTGGTGGTTGAGGAGCACGTCAAAGTGTTCGCGCCATCGATTGACCTTTTCAGCGACTTCGGTTAGGATCGATCCATCTCCGGCAAGAAGCGTGTCGCCATGTCCAATGGCGCCCCGACCAGCCTGTTTCAGCAGCTGGTAGAGTTTGCGCGTGTCTCCACACGCAGATGCTCTCTCGGCCTCCTCGGCCACCCTGCTCCAGCGCGCATTGTTATCGGTCCTAATGGCCTCCCTCAGTTGGCGCCTAAGAATGCGATAGTTTCATTTCTCTTTTCGCAATCCACGCTCTTCTCGCGTTCTCGGAAAGCTCAAGCGTTGCACCCGTCATCCAGTCACGTTGGCGACGTTTTGTGAAGCCAAGATGGAGATGAGCTGCCTCCACCGTAGCCTCCTTAAGGGTCCGCCGCTCCCGCTCAGGCTGCTGATCGATGGTCTCTTGGAGCAACTCAAAACGATTTTGCAGGTCGATACGGAAGTTCGTCCCTGCTGCCGTTTTGAGTTTAGTGACATCTAGACGTTTTGGTCGTCCATTGGGTCGTCTGGCCTGGAGACGTAGGCGAAGAGTTGCACGAACCAGGGCGTGGTCTGAGCCGTGCTCGCTTCCTGTATCGGCTCCTCTGAATGCCCGGCAATTGAGGACCGAGCTTGCCCATCGCGACCGAACCAGGATGTAGTCGATTTGTTTGGCCGTGTGTCCATCATTAGACCTCCACGTGATGAGGTGGCACCTTGGATGCTGGAAACGGGTGTTGGAGACCACGAGGCGACTCGCCGAGGCAGTTAACAAGGCGGTCTCCATTTTCGCAGCGTGTCCCCAGACCGAAACGTCCAAGCACGTGTCTGGTGGTTGGGTCGGCGGGGCCTGTGCGTGCATTCCAGTCCCCCGCTACCAGAAGGAGATCTCTGGCAGGGACCCGTCCAACTGCTCTCTGGAGGTCAGCGTAGAATTGCTCCTTATCTGCCTCAAGCGCATTCAGTGTGGGGGCGTAGACGGCGATAATGCTGATGTTGAACAGGTGTCCCCTCAGTCGCATCGTGGCGAGTCTCGGAGTGCGCGGGTCCCACCTCAGGAAGGCTGCTTGGGCCTCAGGGCTCAGGGCGATGGCCACACCGTGCTGGCCACTGTTATCAGTCACTCCACTGTGGTAGAGATGATAGACGACATCTGTGCCAGGAACCTTGATTGTGCGATACCCCCTGTCTGGGAGTCTCACTTCGGAAAGGCATGCCACGTTGACCCCATAGTCGTGAAGGGCCCTCATGGTGAGGTTCCTTCGCCACGGAGTGTGCGTACATTCCAGCAGCCCACTCTGAGCTCTTCTCTGCGATTCATCAGACGGGGGAGGCGCGGGGATGGGGATGGGGATGGGGATGATTTTTTGCAGATTTTCCACTGTCTCCGCCGATTGAAGAGCCAGCGCGTCGGCTCCCGCGGACGCTGTAGCATGTGCAGCAGAGTAGTGATGATTCGTAGTCATGTGAGAAGAAGATTCTTGGGATAAATTACAGAAGTAGGGTACCCAGGCCTACTCGGATAACGTTCTTGCTTGCCGCGGGGTTCCCACAGACGCAGAGACAGGAACGACCAGAAGCCGCCGGTTGCCGATGCAGATGCTCCTTGGATTTTCACCAGAGCCCTTGTTAGCCGGCGTGTGTGTCAGACCTGTCCACCTTGGGTGGCCCTACCAGGAACGAAGTTCCGGACGGCATAGCTCTGACACTACCGTTTACACCCCCCACCGACTGTGAGGTAAGGGTTGGACTTTTGGGGGAGATGCCCGATGGTGGAGAAACTTGATCATTTTCGTCGAGTATTTCTTCCACTTCAGCCTATGATTCAATGACAAAGCCGGCTTTTTAAAAACAATTTTGAATTGTTGACGGTTTGACCATGAAAAGTGCTCGCTTCATCATGTGCATGGCCTTCAAAACAGTTATATGCTTGTCCACCTCAGACAGCGGCACTGGCGGTATAGCATCGATCGCTGTGATTTGCATTCGAACAAGTTCCCGACGATAATACGCTTTGAATGAACGAATGATGCCATGAGACTGGTGGTGTTTGGTGGCATGAACGACAATTTAATGTTTGACAGATTTGTACCCGGCAGTAAGTTATGACAAGTTGCATTGTCCAAAAACAGAATAATCTTTCGCTTTTGAGCAATCATTTTTCGATCAAGCGTTTTCATAACGTCAGTAAACAGCTGACTAGTCATCCAGGCTTTACGATTAGCGAAGTAAGAAAACGGCAGAGTTTTCACATTTTTAAAGCAGCGTGGTTTTGGCGACTTACCAACAACTACAGCTTGCTTTTCACTGCCGTCCATGTTTGTGAACTGAAGCATCGTGAGTCTGTCTTTGGGAACTTTTGTCCCATTTGACTGTTCGTCGCCGGCAAATCGCAAAGATCCAGACGGCATGGCTTTGTAGAAATTTCCCGTTTCATCACAGTTCCAAACATCTTTTGGATCATATCCACGAAAAAGTTGCGGCAAAACGTTTGTCATCCATTCGTTGGCAGAACCGTGATCTGCTGACGTTGATTCGCCGTGAAATTTTTTGAACGAAACGTTATTGGCCTGCTTCCAGCGCATGAGCCAGCCATTGCTCGGTTCAAAATCAACTTCAAGATTTACGGCCAGTTGTAATGCTTTCTGCCTGATGACGTGATCGGTGACGGTAGCTCCATGAGCACATGCTTGCGTAAACCATTGTGTAAGCGCTTCGTTAACGTCCTTGTGCACGGATTGGCGCTTTCGTTTGCGATTAGTGTTTCCGTTCATTTGCATGCAAGATCTGAGATCGTCTTCTTTCTTGAGAATTTTTGCTGCTGTTGAATAACCGATTCCGTACTTTTTGGCTGCAGCGGCCAGTTTGAGTTTCTTCACTTTGACATCGTCGATGAGCTCCAACTGTTCAGAAATGCTCAGAGTTTTTCGTTGAGACGCCGACACCGACATCACTAATCGCAATGATCGCAAGCAAACGGTTTTCAGTGGCAAAATTAACAAACAGACAAACTTCTGACTCAACAGAACAGTGGGTAAAGTGAAAGTGCTGTCCAGTAAATGCAACGACAAGTGGGTGGCGCTCCCCTTAGACACACAAAGCAAAATCATAAGGTAGAGGGTGTCTCCTACAGACACAGATTGGACACACCGTGTCTCTAGACTAGTCAAGATTAAGTCATTGAACTTCACTCTCTCTCTCTCTCTCTAACTGACCTCAGTTTGACCGATTTATGACATCACACTGTCACTCAAAACGAACTCTCTTATACCGGGGAGGACGAGACCAGAGAAAATCTCTCTTATATCCGGGTCTCTTATATCCGGGTCTAATTTATATACATTAACACAGGCTCTAATTTGGGACCAGAGAAAATCACTCTTATATCCGGGTTTCTCTTATATCCGGGTCTCTTATATCCGGATCTCTTATATCCGGGTTACACTGTAATAAGAAATTTACTACTTCGTTAACCTAAAAAGATACAAGCGGAAACTCTTGCCACCTTAATTTGACGATTGATTGCCCACTTAGATATGAAATAGGTATCATGAAAATTTCAAAGAGAGCGCACGAGAATTCATCCTCTCGTCCGTTATTCTATGTAAAACAAAATAATAAAAGCCTAAAACTTGAAGCGGGAATTTACAGAATAGACTGTGGAAAGTATCACAAGTAATACACGAAAAATCTATGAATTTAAATAAAAGAATTTATAAATACAAAAGGGATCTTTTACAAAAGATAAGCTCAATGCATTAGTCGTTCAACCTAATATGGCTGACCATTAATTTCGACTTAAATATTATAGTTTTAATTAACTAGAATTTTTTGCCACACGCCAACGCTTGTTGGAAACCTCACAGTATTTAGTATTGATGAAATTATCGCTAATATTTTTTGTCAAGATTAAGTTTCATTCAATTTCGCAAACCAATTAATGAAATTTGAATAAGCTGATTTGTTTGGAAATACTTTGTACTCCCTGACCTGTTTGTACTTTCGATCGGTCAATATATTTTAGCTGAGACAGACTAACATAAAAGAGAAAATCATTTATTAAAGTGAAAATGAATTGAAAGTGCATTAATTTCTGAATCTTGTATAGTAAATTTATATCATCTTTCCTAGCAAAACAACTTCTGTTACAATGTGGGATATTAAAAAAGAAAAATGAAAGCATCAGGCGGCAGAATGGGGTTGACAACGTTAAGAATTTAGAATCTACATGCATCGGGTGCTAAAGATGTTAAATTTAAAGTTAGCATAGCGCCATATATATATTCAGTGTTTTGTCAATGAAGAATTCAAATCGATCTTTACTGCATTTCATTCCCTCCCCTTATTTATCCCATTTTCTCATTCAATTGATCTGATATTTATAGGGTCATATATCACATCCGAGTGGCGACAATCTGTTTCATGCCATGTGGGTTGTTCGGTGGTTCATCTGTTTATATATACTCTATAATAAATAGTCAAGCCACCATACAACACACATGGCTTGAAGATTGCGTGCAAGCATGAAACAGACTTTCACCATTTGGTGTTGACTTCAATGTCCAATCTTATACACACACACACAGATATATATATATATATATATATATATATATATATATATATATATATATATATAAAAGAAATATGTTGTAGTGGTTCCAACGAGAGAAAAGTATGTATATTAAAAAAAGAAGAGAGGTGCCGCAAACGTTTTTGGTTGTAATGTGGATTTATTTAGAAAAAATATTATGCTTTGTTTTACATAATTTTACGACACGTGTTTCTGGTCTCGCGACCGTCTTCAGGTAAAAGTGGAGATAAAAAAAATTCGGATTACCAACACACAAACAGAGAATGTCTCATATCGAGAATATTTCACATTGAACATGAAGAAAAAATTAATTATTTTTAATAATATGTAGAAATCTCCACTTTTACCTGAAGACGGTCGCGAGACCAGAAACACGTGTCGTAAAAATTATGTAAAACAAAGCATAATTTTTTTTCTAAATAAATCCACATTACAACCAAAAACGTTTGCGGCACCTCTCTTCTTTTTTTAATATATATATATATATATATATATATATATATATATAACAAGAGGGAGAGGGCATTTCAAAAGTAAATAAACACCTCCATTTTCACCTTACCGTTTCATGAGGTAACTATGCCCTAAAGTACATTACTGTTCTTTTTCTTCTTTTTTAGAATCGATGGTCTTACTTTATATAACAATACTTAGAGCAAGAGGTGAGTAGAATTGTCAAGTTTTTTTTTTTCAGGAGCATAATTGTTGGATGGTCAGAAGGAGGATTCAGTCTGCGTAGAATGACAGAAAACTTTCATGTGCCTCTCGCTATATTGAATAAAGTCATCACTCAATTTAGAAATGAATGAAAAGAACATATATATAAATCGACAAACACAACTGCATTCCTTTCACATTACTCTTCATCATTGGGACGATCAGATGGTGCCAAGATATTTTCATATAATTTTTGGATTCTCATAATTTTACTTCCCATAATTCCTGTTTGGATTCGTCACCATGGAAACAAACCTGTAGAGCAATTGGCCATGATTAAATGTTATTGGTAGAAATGTCCAACAAACAGAATTAACAGTTGGCAATAAACAATAACAAAAGAAAGAAAAACAAAGCAAAATAATACTAAGCAAAACAATATATATGCAAAACAAGGGCACCTCGACGCAGTGTAATGGTTAGCAAGAACAATTACGACTGAGTAGTGACTTCCATCTTCACTGGGTGCCCCATACTTTCGGCCTTGTGCCATATCTAAGCTACGCTTGACAAAAGGTGGGCAAATCAACGTAATAAAGGAGCAGGTTCACAAATCTAAAAATGGTGTCAATACACGAAAGAGGAATACAGACAAACGATCACAGCCTTCTGACACCAAAACAAAAAGAACTAAGTCAGATGAGATCAGGAAGTGGCCTATCTTATTAGCTAGGAAGAAATCCCAGCATGCATCTGTATGGCTTGTCTATAAATTTGGGAAGGGGAAAGTTTTTTGCAATTATACTTATAAAGTCTGGAAACACCACCAAGTACCAATACGTTCTGGGTGGCCTGGACCCTCACACAGGTGTCACCGAGCTGTTCAATGGTCTGTTTCGGGCAATAATCCCCCAACGTAAGGCGCATGCACCACCAGTGGGGCATAGTAATATTTTGGTGGGGCATGTATAGGATATGCACCCTTCAGCTTACTATACCAAAAGAAAAAGGGGGTAATTCGAGAATGAGTTACTAACAGTGAATTGTTTTCTGGTGAATCTGAGTGAGAGTGTTAATGTTAATGTGTGTTAATACATACAATGCATATACAGTATGCATACATCAAAATATTTTGTGTGTTTGCACGTACATGTATAATTGTCGTACAGAGTGTTTCCCGTATCCTCACACAAAGGAGAGTGCGTGATGCATGTCGCGGGTAGAGCCCATGTTTTGTTGGCCAAACAGCGCGTGTGAGCATTCAGTTTGTTTCCTTGACGTGAATTGTATTAAAATTTTGAACATGTAAGAATTAAATATTACAGGGTGAGACCAGAATTTTAAAAATACCAAAATGGGACATGGCCCCAAATCGGTTGGGAACCACTGGTTCAGAGCAACCCAAGTCTTCCGAAATAGAAGTATCGATGTGACACACAGAACAACTGTACGGTGTGTTCATAGTAGGGATGCATCGATAAGCAAATTGGCCGATACCGATTACCTGCCGATTAATCGGTGCACCCCTAGTCCATAGCACTAACAGTGTCCGGCAGCGAAAGGTAAGCATTTGCTCACCTCAGTTAATATTTTAAAAAAATAGGCTAATATCATGTTCAAGAAAAGTCTGAACTTTTGGTAAGGTGTAATATTCTCGGACCAATTATTCTCTGCCAGTGAACGCTTCTGTGTTTGTAGAGAGGTCTTAAAGGATTTTTCCAAGAACTGTCTGCAACCAACTATGAAACACGGTAGGTGTTCACTGATAGCCTGGAGAACGATTTAAAGCACTTGTTGTTCGGCTTTGGTAGAATGTACTTGCCACATTAATGCTGCAAAATATATTTCGATCCTTCAGAAAAGACTTCTTCCCATCTTTTCTGGTCATCAAATGGCCAAAGATACCATATATTTCATATAAGACAGTAATCTGGAGCATGATACAAAAGTCGATTCGTGTCAATTACCGGATATGAACTCTATTGAATATGTCCGTGCATTTGAAACAGATTATTGTTTTAAAAAAAAAAACGGATAAAACCTGCATCCCATGATACATTTCTTCAACTTTTTCATTCGACTTGGGTAGAAATTCCCAACTCGAAGTTTAAAGGAATTGTCACTTCTCTGCCTAACAGACTAAGGGGAGGGGCAACTAAATATTGATGGATCGATTCTTTAAATAAACAATGTTCCCCACCACCCATACTCTAGTTTGCGATTATCCGCGGTTTTCAAAGTTGCTGGGTGTCTATTGACATTTGACATTGTATCGTTTAAAATTTACTATATTAATTGGGGAAGAGTGATCAATATCGTAGAGAGAGCTTTTTTTAGATATATACATTAAGGGCATAGGCATCAACACTGCATGGTGACTGCCAGTTTCACACAATTAATGCAATCTTCAGAACAATTAACACCAAATCATTAAAAGGTACGATATATAGCAGCTATAATCACCTTTTCAAAATACAATAAACTCTTAAACAAAAGATCATAGATCATTTCGAAACACTGACACGAAAGTATATTCCTACTACGCTACCTAAAACTACATAAAAAAGTAAATACAAATCCAAAGACATAAATCTAATAAAATTCATTTCAAATTTCAAAACTTAGGGCTAATAACAAATACAGAGACGAAAAATATGGAAAGCAAATAAACAATTAAATATATGAACGAATAAAATGAAATAAATTTATAAAAAGTTTAGAGTTCATGGTCATAAGGGCGAAACAAAAGAAATGAGAAAAGCCAGTTTCCTCCTTCTCCCACTTCTTCTATTCCCTCGGTAACCTATATATAGAACCCACTAAAGAAAGAGTAATGGCATTTTGGACTGAAGATTGCAATGTCAGTCACCATACAGTTTTGAATATAAATCTTTACGTTATTTTTAATTTATTATTTAACATCTACCGGCCTTAATATTTGAGAAATCTTGGAAAAATATGAGTCCTTCGGCAGGATTCGAACCTGCATCACTTATGTGGAACCGTCATCGGATCTGACGGGCCTAAACGCTCGGCTACTTAGGACATTCGGTCAAACAAAATATTCAGGCTGGTAGATGATGTTGGATAAAAAAAAAACTGTTTAATTAAAAAAAAACAGGGCTTCTACTCGAATATGAGTATCCATCACAAATAACGTTTAAACAAAATAAATTAAAAATAACAATATATTGGATTTAATCCATTTCCTAAAAATATATGAATAAAAAGAGACAAGAGGAAAACTATTCTTAGCCGACCCGTTTCGTACTCTCAGGGACTTTATCAAAGCAATGTAGGATTTATTCTGTTGTACGTATTTATATACAAAAACGAGGATTGTCATTGCTTTATCAAGAATATTTTTAAAAGTTTCTTGAATATTACTCGCTTACTTTTTACCAGACTTTCAATTATGACGCTATATATCCTCCACAATCTCATATTTGTCCTGATAAAGTCCATCAGAGGACGAAACGCGTCGGCTAAATATCTTTTTGCACTTGTCACTTTTGATTCCTCCACAGATACACTCTATCTGAAAATAATTTGCATATATATATATATATATATATATATATATATATATATATATATATATTATATAAATTAACTGATTTAAAATATGGTTTTTTTTTTACACAGTTCTAACCATGTGCAAAAAAAAAATGGAAGCTAAAAGCTTGAATTTAATTTTGTAATATATATATATATATATATATATATATATATATATATAGATTTAAATTTGGATTAAATTAAAATAATTACTATTCTACAAGTTTGTAGTAGTAATTGATTTTTGTCCACATGTAAAAATATAATATATATATATATATATATATATATATATATATATATATATATATATATATATATATATATAATATAATATAATATAATATAATATAAAGGCTCAAACAATAATATTCCATGGTTATAATTTATTACATTGGAA